TGCGTCGAAACAGACGCGTTGTCTCATTCCTGACGAGCTGATAATTCTGCCGGGATGCGGTTTGTGCGAGAAAAGTTTTACTCTTGAGATAAAATTTCATTGGCAATCGTAGCCTGAACTTTCGATTTATTTAAACCAACGGCTGCCTTATACTTGGTTACCCGACAGATTTAAATCTTGACGATTTTAGGATAACATCGAACTTTGCGTGCCATGAAAGAGAATCAATAATAGCCGCGTTCCTGTATGATTCATCGACTAGATATTGACTTTTATAAGAGAATACATTGGTTAGCTTAAATTTTTAACGTCATCGTGCGATCTTCTGAAAGAAAAATGCGTTTATAAACAGTACTACGTAAATACCCATTACCAAAAACCATAAGACGAGATCACAATCTTACTGAATATGGGCACACATGATCGATGAAGTTTTTATGAAAACTCTACGGCGGAAGAGGCAGCATGGCCAGGGATGATTTTGATTGATAAACCTAGTCTGAATTTGAAATTTCAGCCGGTGAAGAGAAAGACAGGATTCGTTATCTGACATTTTTCCCGGCTATGCAAAGCACCGCGAGAGGGCTGGACTTGCATGCACGCGTGCCTACGTAAAGGACGTATGTCCACGTCAAACTCCTTCCGAGTGTGCACGTTCTGGAACAAGGCACGTAGTACTTCCCATCCGGATGGTGTTTCCAAAGGACACACCACTACCAGTTCGCCTCAAAATTCAGCCTTTCTCTATATTCTATATAGAGGAAGTTCCACAATTATAGATCAAGTAGAGGATGGTGATCGTCAGTAGGAACAATTACGATTTAATATGCATGTGTTTCATTTTGCTTTATCTTTTAAGCTTTAAAGGATTAAAATTTCGATAGCTGTTAGCGATATAGATACATACGGATTGTTTGCAAGAGACAAATGGAATATTGTCAGAGATATTTTCTAAGATTTTAAACTTAGATATCAACGTTTTTATTGAAGATCATATTCTCCAAAATTTTTACATTTTAGACTCTCGATGCCTCTCCAATTTACTTGGAGAAATATACTTGGAAATATGCTTTAACAGCATATATTTTGATTGTTATAAAATATTTGTCAGAATATTTTTCCCTCTGTAGCATCTACCTTTGCCCTTTTCCCGGTATTGTCGATATTTACTTCGACAGAACTTGAGGTCCCAGCGTGAGATGATTAACGCTGTACATGCGCGGCAGGCTATATAAACTGCTTACTTTTGCCTTATGCATATCTAATGTCCTGGTTTGTCGGATATTTACAAGTCAAATGCGAACGATCGATACACGTTACAACGATCAGGTGAAACCAGTACGGCGCACAGACGCTAAGAGAAGAGGAAGAAAAAGCTGGCAGTGTGAGTCTTGAGACTGTAAAAGAGACATTAGCAAAGGAGTAAGAGCATAAGAATAGAAGGAAGAAAAAAAGAAGACGAAGAAACAGATAGGGGCGGACGATGGAAAGAAGGAATGGAAAAAGAAACGTGAAGAACGATGTAACGAGCAATGAAGCTTGGAACCGTATTTATTTTGTCTTGTAACGCTGGTTCACCGCAAAAGCCGGCACGAAAGAATCGTGCCCCTAGTCCTCCGACGATAAAGTCCATGGGAGGATAGGACGAGGTGAAGTACGCGAACCATGAGTTTTCCGTAGCGGGCGGAGACTTCGAAAAGTTCTCCAGCACGAAGGCATGGGGTTGCACGCGCACGACCCTTGCATGTGGAAAGTTCTTGCGATCCACAAGGGCTCTGCACTCCCTGAAGGATCTCGATTCTCGGCTGAAATAAATACTCGAGAGGGAATCCTCTGCTGGCCTTCCAGCATAGTTCTATGCTTTTCTGCATGCTCGAGGTTAATCAATTTAATGAACCTTACTACCGTTTGAAAGATACTCACGACGTGTATCTCCTTTATGTTGTATTTAGAACAGTATATGAGAATAGGGACGTTGTTTCGAGTAATCTAGTCGTTTTATTCGTTGATGGTTATCACTGAAGTTTTGTCGAAGGTTGTACCGTTGGAAGCAATATTTTCTAAACGATTTTCACTTTAGAATAATTTTAAAAGGCTTCTTAGTTTCTTTTTTAAATAACTTGCTTGTAATGTTCATTCCAAGGAAGGTACAAAATTTTCTATCAAGATGCTGAACGCTTTGAATGATATTCAAAGCGTTCCTTGTTATATAGCATGTGCTTTTATCTTTATTCTACCGTTGTAGTTAATATTTATAGACTTTATATTACATGGAATTTAAAATTTGCTATTATTTATAGGACACCCTGTATATCTATAAACACCGAGGGGCGATATTTTTGTTATTATTGTGAGTGATAAACGGTATCAAACGAGGATTGTTTTTTCGCTGTCAATGTAGAAAATCTCGTCGTTTCGTATCGGATGACGATCGTTTGCATCGAGCGTTAATTCCCGTTGATAACGCCATTTTTTCAATTCTGACCCGATTATCACGTAACACTGTTCGCACTGTCAATTAAGGCAGCATTTTACGATGTTTTTATATTCGAAACTGGCTGACAGCTTACCGAGCGCAGTAAATAACACGATTCGAAGATTGAGCGAATCCTCGCTGTACTATCGAACGAGCGGCATTGATCGAAAATTTTACCGCAGTTGAAACGCGTAAAAAGCGTATGGAAAATAATGCTGCCAATTTTATTAGTGAAACCTTACTATATTAACATTTGCTGTTGTTGTTTGTTGCTAATTGGTATCGAGTGCTATTGGTGATTAATCACAGAGACGTAATGTTTAATTTTGCTTTATTATCAAATTTTTATATTTTAACCTTGCTCCCATTTTGGTAAACAAGAGGGAATTGTAATATTTGTAATATCAAACATAAAATTAGAAAGATATAGTTGGGTAGAAAATGATCGAAAGGGCGTAGCAAAGATAGGGTGTGTTCTAAGCCATCAACGATATTAATATTATACAACATAACCCAAGTTAACTATGCTACTCTTGCATAATAATAAGTTTGGTAGGGAAACAAGTCAAATTGCACGTAAAATGTTGAAACGATAAAACTCCAATACACCCTATGTACATACGTACTTGTTCCGATTGGACACGGAATTTCAGTGCAAAACGATCGGAATGAAAGTCAACCGGCTGACACGGCGTGTCACCCAATTACACGATCAGGTTATAAATATTTGATCATGGAAACCGCTACACGTAGGTTGCGTGGCGGCTACTTGATAAACGTAGTTTGTCGAGCGTGTACAGGCCACGTCACGGTCGCGGAATAGAAGCGAACGATAACCGAATTGGTGTAACCGACGTAAACGCACTCGCTTATGTCGAGACCCGCGTTGGGAATTGACGTTGTTACAACATGTTCGAGAGTGTTCCCAAAGTAAATCGATTCATCTCGGTACACGGGATCACATTTTTCCTATTTTCTTTGCTTTTCATCGTCACATACGCCGGAGGAAAAATATGACTCCGCCTTGTATTCGTGCACGCCTTCCTTCCATTCTGCCCTTTCCACCCTGGATTTTTGGAATAAATTCAAATAGTAAGAACGTCTAGCGACATCGTCGTTGTAGTCGGTGCTCAGTCTACGTTTCCACGACCCTTTTCTCCGGCCTCCATTCCCGTCGGGAGGCACAAAATGAATTGTACCCGGTG